AAATTAAAAATTAAATTGTGGCATGAGGAGATTTAGGCTGATAAAAAAGAAACATTTCCTAATAGTATGTAAAGTGAAAGCATCCTTTAAAAAGATACTGAAATACCACTCCTTCGGGAATTGGTCTGAGTTGATTTACATGTGATACAGCTGAAGGCAAGAGGATCAGGTTCTGTGATTCCACTCAGGCCTCTGGATATGTGTTCATATACCCACAACCGCTCACAGTTATTGTTAGGAAATCAGTTTGATTTGGATGATTTTTTTAAATTAATGAAACAAATCACACTTCTTTCCAGATACACACAAGATGGAATTATTAAAACAATAAGGTGGATTTGTAGAAAATCTATTTAGTCAGGGAGTTATTTAAAACAATGCAGGTTTTCCATTCAGCAATATAGATTTACTTAATCTTGAGCCCGGGACTGATAGTCTCTTTTGGGAATATGTCTGGTTTATAGCTGTGAAGACAAAATGACCTTTTTAAGTTCTCTTGGGTCACTGAGGAAATAGTTGACTAGGTGTGTGAAATAAGGATTCAAAATCCTACATTTAGCATTAAAGTAAAGGGAGATGGAATTTATAGTTTAAACATATTAAAATGTCTATGTAGTAATTACTAAATTGATTACTAAAATTAAATAGTTTAATATTAATAATTGAGAATATAAATTCTTATAAATGCTTACTAGAGGCCCAAAATATTATAGAGTTGAGCTTTTAGTTATCAAGTTTCTCTGAAAACCAAGTTTTTAAAAATATAATTGTTCAAATGTTAAGAAGTGTTAGAATTAAGGTTAAAGAATAAAAAGTTATTTGGAGCACTATGCTTGAATTATAAAACATGATGATAAGTATAATTATAAAATGTGATTTAAAATTATATTAGTTTCTCTTGAAGCACTTATGCCTATTGTGCTGAGATTTGTTCTATTCCTTTATCCTCCTTTTTAGGACTTATTATAGCAGCAACATTGGCCCATGATTGCTTCCTTATGGGAATTGGGTATTTTTCTTTTACATGCAAAGTCCTTAAAATTTATAACACTGAAGAAGACAAACATAATAGGAACATTAAAATATAGACACTGAATATTGAATAATGAAGTATTTATATTTCACAAGTGCATTTTGTAGCTTGATCAGTGAAAGGAAGGCAAGGATAGCTAGCTAGGTTTTTAGTAACACTAACTTGGAACCCTTAACACAGAGGTGTGAATTGGATCCCTTAACTGTTAGCAACATTGCAGTGACCTTGCAATCTGACATTCAAAAACAGTATTGCTTCAAATAATAGAAGTGTTAGAAGCGTTATTTTGTATCTATGTCTCAATTGCTTTCTAACTCCCTTTTCTTGTTATAGCAGGTTCCCTTTTCTTGTTATAGCAGGTATTCATTTATACTTTGGGTATTAAAAATGAAGCACTTACAATAAAGTATTTTAAGGTCAGCAAAAACCTGCTGGATTAGGATGTGTATCTGCCTACTTTTGCAAACATTAACTGTGATTTCATCCATTACTATTTCAAACAAATTTAGTGATTTGATGTAATTCCTATAGATATAGATTTTAAAAGCTGAGTTGACACTTTTAGAACCCATTGGAGAAATTTGCATGAATTTTTATTCTACTCTGATTTAGTGATGATTAGGCAAATTTGAAAAATTTCGAAACTGTTTAATTTTTCAGTGAAAATTTGTTCACACAAAGGGTAATTAATATAGGGTTTTTTGCTAGAGCATTTTTTTTTTATCAGTTATTCACCTGATGTTATTTAGTCCTTGATACAGATAAGACATGGTGTTGGGAAACTCTTGCTTCCTGGAAAGTTTTGGCTCTAAAGCCTCACCACTTTCAGTTTTCACATTGTTCAGTGTTGTTTCTATATTATGCCATAAAATTTTCTGAAAAAATATCCACATGTATCAGTAAGATATTTGTCTATTTATATTCTTTTCAGAGGGATTATAAATGCAGAAACCTCACAAACAATGTGACATTGAAAAAAAGTAAAATAATAATATTAGAGGGAACAAATCATATTATGTTTGGTTATTAAAAAGAGAGAAAACTGTTTCCATGTACCTAAAGGAATTTGAATTTAGTTTCCAGAATTTAGATTTCAATAAAGTACTTTTAAACTTTTTCTATTATTATAATCTTAGTGACATTATCCCTGTGAGGTTTGATTTGATTTTAATAGTAACACACATTTCTAGATACTTATGAAAAAGTTCTATTCACTATAATAGTACTATGAATATGATATTAAAGACATTATTACCATACTTGATACATGATAGAATTAATTTAACCATTAAATCTTCCTTAAATAATGTCATTAAAATTCCTTGCATTCTATGGGGGGAACTACAGGGTGTCTGGTATAAAACTTTTTGGATATTTTTTGTATTTAGAATTTCTTTTGTTCATAAAGTTCTGTTATATAGAGTTATTTCTGAATATCTCATCAGTTGAGATAAACCACAGTTTCCTAAAGTTGACTGGATGTCTGCTTAATCTCAAGAAATTTTCAGATTCAGAAATATGGGTTCATGGAAGAGCAAAATCAGTTAATCTTTAAATAAAATGTAATGAACCAGTTAAAGAACCACAGTTCAAATGGCTGACATCATACTAAATGTCTTCCAGAAAACAGATTTTCTCATAGTGTGCTTTTTTGATGAATTTTTCCCTTATAGAATATACAAAGACTCAGTTCATTGAGAATTCAGAACAATTTGTGGCTATGATATGGGTTTATTGCCTTTATTAGATTAGAAGTAAGGCTATAAATGGCATGTGGTACCTTCTAGCCCGCTTTCTAATCAGAAAACAAATATATACAGATTTTCTGTCACATTATTGAACAATAGATACAAACAAACATGACTTATTTTTCAGGAGATTATACTAATATAGAAACAGTAAATATATAACTATTTTTATTTTAATGTGGCTTTTTGTTTAGTAGGGTATAAAAAGATGTCGATTTTTTGGAAGCGAAATTGGCATTTTGCAATTTCATATCGTCACATAAAAGGTGATCTCAAGAAGAAACTAAAATTATACCTATAGCTTGGACATCAAGGAAGTATTAGTTTTTTCCTTCAGGCATTAGTAAACAAAGCAAAGTCATAGGAGGCTGCTTGTACTAGGATGTGTAATTTCCTTTTAAGCTTATGGAGAATGAAAGATGGAAATTATTGAAAATAAGGGTATGGCATAGGAGAGTAGAAAAGAATAACTGAGAACTCATACCCTGCTTTATGTTTCCTTGAGGGCGTGCATGGCACAGAGAGTGGTGGTGAGGGAAGCAGGGTTGAGGAGGGCGAGAGCTGGCAGAGGCAGGTAACACGGGATGAGGATTGAGACTAAAACCTGGTAACTAAAAGATTTAAATGATTTGTTCTCAGTTTTTTATACCTTTAAAAAAATCATTTTCTTATGTGACCATTTACCATAACTGCCTCAAAATACAGGCTCCTGAGAAGTGAGAGACAGTATGAGTTAATAGCAAGTACACTGAACTAGAAATATAAGTCCCTTTTCAAATACATGGTTTGCAAAGGTTTTCTCCTGTTCTGTGAGTTGTCTTTTCATTTTCTGATGGTGTCCTTTGAAGTGCAAAAGTTTTTAATTTTGATGATGTCCAATTTATCTATTTTGTTATATTTTCCTGCTTGTACTTTTGTGTTATATCTATAAAAACATTGCTTAATCCAAAGTCATGAAAATTTTCTCCTATGTTTTTTTCTAAGTGTTTTATAGTTTTAGCTTTTACATTTAGATCTATGTGCCATTTTGAATTAATTTTCATATATGGTATAAGGTAGGGATTCAAAATAAGTATTTTTTTGCTTGTGGATATTTAGTCACCCCAGCATCATTTGTTAAGAAGACTTTTTCCCTATCAAATGGTCTTGGCACCTTGTCAAAAATTAGTTGACTATAAATGTAAGTCCAATATTCTTTTAACAATTTGGTTAATCTAATTTGTTCCAGTTAAATGGAAAACTGATTTTTCTTAAGGATGTTTTATAATAAATTCTGTTTTTAAAACATTTAAATGTCTCAGCTAAAACTAATTTTCTTTAATTCCCATCAGATAATATAGTATTAATATATTACTCAATTAACTTTATTTAGATGTTAACTATTGCATTCAGGGGCGAAATATTAATCTGAAGGAAGTGTTTTTTTGGCTAGCAAAAGAAAGAATTTGAATTACAAATCAGTTATGTTTCCAGTTCTTTAATTCATTTGTGGTAAACTAACTTAAAATTTCTACAAGTATCATGCATATTCATTTAAAGTAGTATAGTTTTTGTTAGTTTGAATTCTTGGATTCTTTTTTCTTTACTTGTAATCTTTTTGTCTAGTGCACTTTTTTTTGCAGAGTATCTAATTTACCTAGATTATACTTTAACCTCACTCTAGAAGTCCCATGCTTTATAAATTGAAAAACTAGCATAGAGGGATAAAATATTTGCTTGTATAGGTCAGAAATTAAGATTTTGAATTCTGTCAAAAATGCAAAAGGAAGAACAAACAATTCTCCCTAACAAACAGCTATAACAGTAGAACTCCTAAATTATACCAATGTTAAGATAAAAACCAACAAATATTTTTATTAGCCCCAAAAGATAAATATTATATAACTAAAGGGACATGGAATAATTCCAGTATTAACAATACTTGTGAGGGATTGGAAGGACTTTCATATCTCTCACAGGGAAAATTTACCATAAAATCCATTATAATTTCTGCTGTGGTCTGAAGGTTTGTGTGCCCCCCAAATTTGTATGTTGAAACCTAATCACCAATATGATGATATGAGAAGGTGAAGCCTTTTGAAAGGTGATTAGGTCACCTTTTGAAAGGTGACTAGGATTGGTGCCCCTATAAAACAGGCCTGAGGGAGCTCATTCGCTTCTTCTACCTTGGCAGAACACAGCAACAGGCACTATCTAGGAATCAAGAAATGGGCTCTCACCAGATATGGAGTCTTCTGCCACTTTGGTCTTTGTATTTCGCAGCCTCCATAACTGTAGGAAATAAATTTCTGTTGTTTGTAAATTACTCAGTGTATGGCATTTTGGTATAGCAGCCCAAATGGACTAAGATGATTTCCAAAAGAGAAGTAAAACTTACATAAAGAAACTCCTCCATTGCTCTTTTTGTAAACCCCAACACACTTGAATCCCAGATTTACTGTTATTCCCCAGAGCTTCATTTTTGCAAGGCATTGCCTTATCTCCATTCACCACAGGCTGTGAAACAAGCTACATCTGTTTGATTGCCTCAGTTGCAAACATTTTGCCATCACCTTTGTAGTCTCCCACCGTTTCCACCTCTGTCTTTTAGGCTTACCAAGATCATAGCATTGATTACAGCCTCTAACTTAACCTCTAATACATTCATGTCATGACATACTTGTGCCATTGGCGAAAGAAATTCCCTTCAGGTATTCAGATTTTAAGCAAATTTGGAAAAAGTGAAAAATGAAATGTGAAAGCAATTTCATTTTTTTCCTATTAGGGGCATCAGCAACAAATCTAAATAAGATTTACACACTCTCCCTTCCCCTGTTGTTAACAATGTTGTGGAACTAGCAGATTATATTGGAGTTTATTTAAATGATTAAAATTTATTTCTCCCAACACCTTCAGAGGTTGATGATTTACAGAGGCTGATGATAAAAGAATACTCAAGGACCTCATCAGCTAGAGCTAAATGGGCCCAGAAACATGGTTCTCTAATTTTTCTTTGCAACCTTGATTTTTTTCTTCCTGAGCTCATATTAATTATCTCTTCTATCTGCACAATAGGTCTGGTTATGGCTAAAGGACCAGCTTGAACCTATGTCCAGTTCATGTTTGTACCTCACTACAGATAGTAGGGATATTTCTGAAAGCTGTAAATTAACTTTTTGTACATAGAATAATTTAAATACATTAGTGGAGTTAACCACTCAGAGATTACCACTATAAAATGAATCATCTTTTATCTGATTTATCTGTTTGAGAATATATTTTAGCTTTTCTTAATTGAAAGCAAGGACTGACTGTTATTATTAGCTAGTTTGAGGAAATAATATTTGAATGCATTAGGCAGGGAAAGGCTTTTTAATGATTTAATTAAGAATAATTTTAATTAAATATAAAATACTCCCAGAGTTAGGTATCTTGTCTTCAAAAAATTAATAGTAGCAAAGTAGGGAAAGTAATAGAATTATAAAAGTAACAAATTAGATGTCTGCCATCTGATGGAAAATAATTAGCTCACTGATCAGAGGTTGAACTTTAGTGTCAGATCTTTCTCTTTCTTGTTAGTAACCCTAAATAAAGCATTTGTTAGGTAAATATTTGCAGTACAAATTAGAAAAAAATGAGAGTAAGTTACTAAACTAAGAAATATCACTGGTTTTTAATAATCTACTCTGTTGCTATAGGAATTTCCTTTTTAAAACTCCCAGTACATATTTTATTTATTTGTTGTTTTATTATCAGCTTTGTTTGAATATAGCAGCAAATGTTTTTCAGTAGGCAGAGTCTGTCTTTAGTATCTTCTGTTTTTGAGATGCCTCCCTTAACATACCCTTCCTTTATTATACCCAGTTGTAACAAAGTACCATAAACTGTGGCTTAAGTTTATTCTCTTACAATTCTTGAAGCCAGAAGTCAGAAATCAAGATGTTGGCAGGACCACACTCCCTCAGAAGCCTCCATGGGTGGATCCATCCTTGCCCCTTCCAGTTTATGGTAGTCCCGGGCATTTAGTGGCTTGTGGCAGTGTAACTCCAGTCTCTGCCTCTGCCTTTACATGCCCATCTTCTGTCTGTGTGTGAGTCTCTTCTTATGACAGCAGGTCATACTGGATTAGTATGACCTTATCTTAGTTTGATTATATCTGCAAAGGCCATTTCCAAATAAGGTCACATTCCCAAGTACCAGGGGTTAGAACTTAAACATATCTTTTTGGGGGGACACAATTCAACCCATAATACCCATGTATTATCTTTCATTTCCTAAGCTCTTCTTCCATGGCAGCCACCAAGTTTCTTCTTTTCTGTTATTTTTGGATCTTGTTAATCCATCCATCCATCCATCCATCCATCCATCCATCCATCCATCCATCCATCCATCCAACAAATAAAATGAACATATGCTGTGTGCCAGGCATTGTCCTTGGCAATAGGAACATAGGATGGAATGAAATAAAATCCCTGACCCTCTTGTGCTTACATTCTATTAGGAGTTGACAGACAATCAAGACATTAAATACATAGAACATCTTTGATAATAGTTGGCACAAATATAAATACAGTAGGGAACGAAGATTAAGGATTAGAGAGATACAGGGTTAGTGAGGCATGACGTGTGTGGGAGCTACATTTCAGACTGATAGTCAGTGCCAGGTAGCTGCCCTGCTACACAAATCTATCTGAACCTGTTGCCAGGAACCAAATGTGTTGACTCACCTATGTAACATATTGAATAAGTCTTTCTAGAAGTAAATCCTTAAATCAGAGGAGTGGTGCCAATACAGATTTTGATTTTAGAAGGTAGAAACGATGGCTTTGATGAGGGGCTCCAGCTCTATTCATCCTACTGATATGTGCCAAGTGCTTGCTGCATTCCAGGAGCTGGGCTAGGGCAGAGGATACAACGGTTGGTAAGGAAAAGGTGGCCTCTGCTCTCATGGAACTTTCTCTCAATCGTGATATAATATGGAAACCATTCTTGGATAACAAAGAACCAGCAGCTAATTGGCATATGGGGAGGGGTCAATCCAGATCTGATGTCATTTATATCTTCCTGATCTCTAGTCAAAAGAATTGAATATAATCTCATTAGTTGTCTAAAAGACATATCCTACATGCTCCTATCTTACATACTAAAGGTCTTGTATCAAAACTATAGGGAGATAAGAAGATTTTTAGTGTAAGTTTTAATGGCTGACCTCAATAGACTATATTGTTTTTCTTGGGTTTAGTATGTACTAGGATTATTTTTACAGAGATACTGTGGTGGAAAATATTATGGTGATCTGCGTAGCCCAGATGTGAATCATGAAAGCTGATATAAACTAGATTTTATTTGATGATTTGTTTATTGACTTTTAGAATATGGAATAAAAAGAAATCATGTACTTTCATTTAGGAAAACAAATCTTCCTTTTTTAGGTGGACGAATCAAAGTTTGCTGAGTAGCTAACCTAACAAATGACCTAAGTTGTTACCCTGATTTCCTGTAGACTGTGTATATCTGCCAGCTATTGTTTTACTAAGATGAATGAATCTCTGCCAAAGGATTTAAAAGCTCTTTAAGAACTAGAAAATTCCTTAGTGTACAGAAATAAAATTTGCTGAGCTAAATGTTCATCAAAAGGTAATGTATCAAGCTAAAGGAAGAATTGCCAGACACACAAGCAGATTGTACATTTAGATTTTCTTGTATATCATGTTAAATCAAAAATTATGGAATACATCTGTTACTAGCCTGAGCACCAGACTCAACCAGAATGGAAGCTGTCAAGAGCTCTGTCACTAGGGCTGTGCCTGCCACGGTGAGATCAGAAGATAGCCATGACACTCACTGGCACTTCAGAAGGCTCCATTCTGCTCTCTGCAACATCCCCAGTTCTGATGCTTTCCGCTTCCCTGAACGGAGGATAGATGGTTCCTGGCTTCTCTTCTGTTGTGTGTTTTATCTCACATGATGCTTTTTCGCTGCTTGGTCCTTATCCAACACATAACTTGTTTTATAGATTTTTTAAAATGTCCAGAGCCTTTCAAAGTCCTGTTGCTAAAAGTTAAAATACATACATTTTAACCATTGTAAAACTACTGTTTATTAGCTTTTTTAACAAAGTCGATAATCTAGGACTTTTCTTAGTCTTATTGGTCTTATACACAAACAATATAAATTGATTTGGTGACTACTCCCAGTTCCCTATAGAGCACATATATGAAATATTAATTATAAAGTCAGGGTATAATACTGTCTATACTTCCTCTAGAATTTTTTGGTTCACTACAATGGAATCTCAGTTTAATGCTGTTGCATGAAACAACCTGACTGATATTATGACATTTTCTATATGCTTTTCTATTACTTTGTGTATGTGTGTGCTTGGGGTTAGGGTGGTTAAAATGGATCATTTATGAGGCCAAGGGCACAGATTTAGTCTCTGTGAGAAGTTTTATTCTCTTTCATAATCACACACCATACTGTACTTTTAAGCACAAATCATTAATTTCACCAATATTTGTCATTGATTACAGAAAGAATTCAGGCAAAGGGCCGAGGGTGGATTGAAGCTCATCTGTCATGACTATGGGACAATACCTTCTAATATGTGACAGTAGGGCTCTTTCAGGGATGAAGGCTATCATGTGGGGACACTATTTTTTCTATCCGTGTAATAGAATGTAATGTTATAGCAGAGTTCTGTTGCATTACTTGTCAAAATATGATGGTTATTTCTCATGTTAGATGAAGCTTATTATCCTTAATTTATTGGGCTACAAAGGCAGTATTAAAGTAAGTTTACAATTTGGACAGCTAAGATTAGGGCATTGTACTGCTTACCTATTATTGTGTAATAAGCCACCCTAAAACTTAGTGGTTTCAAATAGCAACAGTCGTTTCATTTGCTCACAAAACTGCAGCACAGGCAGGGCTTGTCTTTGTTTCACGTAGAGTGAAGTGGGATAGCTCAGGTGGGGGCTTCAGGATTCATTTCTAAGATGACTCACTCACATAGCTGGCCAAGTGGTGCTAACCATTGACTGGAAGTTTAAATGTTAAATGTTGTTGCTGTGATTGTCTATTGACCATATTATATGACTTACAATTTGTTTTGATGCTTATACTAGTGGGAGCCTTTTGCCTCTTAAAGTGATTTTTTTGAGGCTTCTCTCCTTTATGTTGCACCCTCCCTCTTCCCCTTTCCAAAATTGGTTCATTGCAGTGCTATAATAAAATTAATATCTAATAGGATCATATATTATATTTAAATATTTATTTTTGAGAGTGTTTTCATTGGGAGCATAGTGTTAGTAAAGAGTGAGAACATCACATACTCTTTCCAGTGAGATAGATACATTGTATAGAAATGCTCATAGTTTGTAAGGATAATGATTATGTTTTATTTACCAAAGGTTGTTAAAAGAAAGCAAAGAAAATGTATGAATGTTATTGCCAATAACATTTTCAATTTTATTTTATGGATCTTGTAAATATTTTCCCCCAAAGATGCTAAAATGTACTGTCAAATATGTGGAAAGAAATAGAGCTTACTGGTTAATCTTTTCTGCTTTATTTGACATTTAAATGATGTTTATATTTTTATTGAGAAAATGCTTATTAATTTGGATAAAATTTTATCACTGAAGGAGTTCACTGGGTTATCCAGTCAAATATGAATATACTAGGAGCTTTCATTTTTTTTCTGGCATAATCTATCAGCTGTTTGATACAATAAAAATGAAGTCTTTACCATTCAGTATTGTTATATGATTAGCTTCACCTGCTTTTGGAAACAGAAATAGATACTAGATTATTCTGAGTATTTATGGAGCAGCATTCATCCTTTATTTTGGGGCCATCCTTTGTGCATCCTTTGTGAGAACTCTCACGTAAGCTATTAGATTTACTTGAAAATACTAATTAAAGTTGTCTTGCTTTAACAGCATATCTAGTAGAAGAGAACCTGTAAAAGAAATACCCCTAAATAGCATTCTCAATCACATAAATAGAAGAAGTAGTCAATGAATACAACTACCAGTGCAATAATAAAACATTTTGTTTAATTAACTAATGTTTAATATATACTCCCTATTTTCTCAGCACAGTGCTAAGAGCAGGAAGTAAATAAGTATGAGAAATAGCCTGTATTATGTTTCTCTGTGTAAACTAGAATAGAGAAAATGGACTGAGAAATGATCCTTTTCAGGGTACCTGTATTCCATGTGTGATGGTTCTGTCATGTGCTGTTGCTTTCTCCAGTTTGGTATTAAGAATATTCAATTTGGTAAGATGTAGGAAAGGTATGTGGACTCATGAGTATATGTGCCTCCTTCTCTCCAAATTAAAAAAAAATATATGTTATCACCTTCATTCATAATATGACTCTTTATAGTGTCTTCAATAAAGTTAATAGTCTTTTTATAAAACAGTATATTAGAATTTTTTAAAAATCTGAAAATTGCTATGTGATTAACTTTTGAGAAAAATTCCTGTTTTTAAACTACCTGAATGAGATCTAAAAATGTACATTTTTAAATTGACTAATATTTTTCATTCTTGGAAAAAATTTCCCTGTAGGGGTCTCCAAGTTTTGCTGGGCAGAGTGAGATGGAGGCTGCATCCTCAGGGTATGGAGCAGTGTCTGCTAAAAAAAAAAACAACCCTCCGTATGTTTGTTGAATGAATGAATGTAGATGACAAGAACATAGCATGGCAAGCTATTTTATTATTTTTGGAGTACTGGGCTGTGTAAGAGTTAGTTGGTGATGGAACCCGTTCCTTCAGTCAAGGTGGTTCTGCATGGACTGATGGATGGTAAAATGCAAGACTCACTTCAGAGTTGCTATTTGTATTTTAGCTGTTCCTGTGATATGGTTGTCATATTATTGCATGTTATACCCATTAGCAGAGGGCACACAGAATGGGTGTATATATTTATCTCTTTTTTTTAGTGCTCTGTTAAGCTGTAGGATAACCTAGTTTTATGACCACTAGGAAAAGTGTTGATTACATTGGGTCTGCTTTAGAAAGACTAGAAAGACCTTTCAATGATTTTGGGAAAAGTTTAAGAATGTCTTGGCAACAGTTGTCATAGTATCACATTGAAAAACAATTCTTTAATAGAGCATGCCCTGATACAGATATTGCTAACACTGTATAGGTAGGATTGACCTGCAAAACATAACCCTAGGTGTCTATTTGGATGAATTATAAATTAAACGTTCACTTTATTTTGTTTCTGACTTTTCCACATCCTTAATATTCTTTAGTGAGCAATAACAAATATGGTTCATAGTCACTAAGTTGTGAAAGGAATTAGCACGAGTTTTGAATTATGGGGCAATGTGTAGTGCTTATTTCAAAACAATAGTTAATATGTTATTTCTGTTTTATTTGACATTATCAAAACAGATAAGCAGCTGTTTTCTCACTAACATTTGCTTAAGGAAAAACCACACACTAGAAAATTAACATTTTGGGAAATTTCAATGAAAAGTGACGTTCAACACCTGAGCTATATCTCAAGTATTATGTCAGTGATAGAAGCCTCAGGGACAAGCTGTCAGGAATGAGAGTAGAACTGTACTGAGGACCTCGCATGATCCTCTTGCAATTCACTCAGGCTCTGATATTCCTTTACATCACTGTAACTATGCTCCAGGAAGACTGCCAAGATGTCAAAGCTCCCCCCTCCCCTGCCTTGCAGTCCCCACAGCTAATTGATGATCTGATATGGGAGGCTTTGACTCAGCCGTATCACATATACACACAGTGAGGTACAGAGGCAACTGGCACACTCCTTGCTGATTTCTTTGTTTGGCGATTTCCTAAAGCAGCGTGGGGCAGGCAGAGACACTTGGCGCTCCACCTAACAGCAAAGAAGTCTATTAGTTCACCCCAGCGTGAGGGTAAATAGGATATTAACCAGGGTCACTAAAGTGTTGTTGTAATTTATGGGTTGAATTGATAAAATTCTGGCCTTTTTTTTTTTTTGCAAATATAAATTTTTATTTCTAAATTCTCTGCTGAAATTGGGTACCTAAAACAGATTTTTGTATGTGACTAAGGAATGTCAACTCAAAGAACCTCATTTTGTTGAGTTTGAGGCCCAGTTCATCTGATTGGAAGGGTCCTCTGGGTTGCTGGTGTATTGTAGCAGACAGTAGACATGGGGGAGTTGTCAGATTGCCACTAGGCCTTTCCTTCCCCACTTATCCTCTGGTTCTTGCTAAATCTGCTTTGCATTTGAAGTTGATTGAAATGGTTCTCACTGTTAACCTGTCAGCTGAAAGCCCTGTGATTTAGGGAGCTTTCTGTTCATTTCAGTTGGTGCAAGAAATTGAAGTAAAAAGTCTGGATCCTTTTAGAGCACTGGCAATGACCAGACAGAGCAGCATCTGGACTTACCCCCAATTAATGGAAAAGTGTTGTCAGGTGCAAGAGATGAAATTCTTGTCAGAAAGCTGGTCCTTTGGTGCCAGAAGTTTGTTGTGGGTAATGACCTCTGGGGGGCTGTTCAGAAAATCCCTGGAAAACATTATAAAGAATTATACCATCTTGGATTTAGGTGGATTTATTCTTCCTAAGAGCACAAAATGTTTTCATATTTAGGTTATTGCATTTATCTTCATAACATCAGCATGAAATAGTTTGTGGCAGGTATAATTATCCCCTTGTATGCAGAGAGAGGATGGGGTTCCAGGGCAAACCCGAGAGCCACAGAATGTTTGTGTTTGTGGTGTTTTTCTTTCCAAATAGATAAAAATGTATTTTATAAATATCTGAACCTATCTTTATTACATGAGAAAACTATTTATCATGGGTAAATTGGGTACAGTGGAAGGTTATTAACCATTTTGTACCATAAGATGACTTTAGGGAAAAGCTATAAATTACTATTAAATCCTAAATATTAAGTGTATTTTTGGTGAATTGGAAGGACTTTAAATGAAGAGGAATTTGTTTTGAAAAATTACTTAAAATAATCTTGTTCTTGGTACCCGGAAACTGGAAATTTCACTTGCCCAGAAGTATGAAGCAGAACCAGAAGCTATTTTCCTGGGCAGAGGCTGCCTGACTTGAGTACTGTGGTCCTGGAATCTAGGGGTTGGACCGAATGTAAAGCATTGTTATGTCACAGCAGAGACACTGTGAAGAAAAATGATGTAAAATTATGGAAAGTGAATGGGACTCTTTAGAAAAAAGGTATTTGATAAATTAAGCCTGTTCTCAAAAGTCTCTGAATTATAGTTGAGGAAAGTGTTAGGTGAAACTTTATTAGACAGGATGCAGGTTTTCTGAGGCAACAGAGAATCTAAAATTACAATAACCATCAAGATAGAAGTTTATATTCTCTCTTGTAAGTCTAGTAAGTGACTAGGGTGGCCAGGCAGCTTGACAGTATCAGTAACCCAGGATCCTTCTGTTTTCTATATTCAATCTGAAACTTTCATTTTATACTCTAAGACGACTGTTCTTATTTTCTAATCAGTGGGGACAGTGAGAAAGGCAGTGGAAAATCTGCTCTTTGGAGTGCACAAACTGGAAATCTTACATATCAGTCTTTCTACAATCCATTGGCCAAAATCCAGCCCATCCAATCCATGTGGCTGTGGGACTCTGGCTTCTGGAAAGGCTGGGAAATAGTCTTTAGACAGGTAGCCATATGCCCAGCTAAAATGTGAAGGCCTAATTACGAAAGCAAGAATTCTATTGAAAAAACATCATTTTCCAGCACAGAAACACATTGTAGCAGATATTTAATTTATTTTAAGATCTACCAAGTCTATAATTGTCTTGGAGCTAAGCATTATCCAACATGGTTTTTGGATAATATTGCTGATGAAGGCATGTTCTCTGATAGATTTTCCTAATTCAGTGGAGACTCGTGATATAGCTGAATCATTAGGCTAATGAATTATATATTTCTTATATTATAAGGGCAAATATAAGTTCACCACTTTTTGTCAGGCCCCTTCATATTTTGTATTAGAGCTATCATATTATGATAAAGAACTTTCTTAAATACACACACACATTAAAATAGTAAAGTTTGGAGGAGGAAGCATTAAGAATTTACTTATTTATTCTGTAACACAAAATCAAATTTGTTAATCATGGTGGAATCAGAACCACCATTACAAAAGATCTGAAAAAGACCTTAAGGAATACTTACACACAGAGAAATAAGGACCAAAGTAGACTGAGGAGACATATGTTAGGGGACAGCCCAAATGATATGATATCAGAAATAAAAGAAAGAATTTTAAGGATCCGGGATGGTAATCAGCATTGACTGAAAGAAAATGGAAAAGATGATAAAAAAGCAAAGGGCCATGGATTTGACAATTAAAAGTTCATTGACAGAATTTTTTAAATCAGAGTTTAAGGAATGGACACCAGAATGCATAAGGTAAAACAGAAGTGGAGGTGGTCACTGTGGACCATTCTCAGTGTTGGCAGTGAAAAGGAGAAGTTAGCGTGCAGGCATGGCGAGACTGAAGAGAAGGTCTCACCAGCAGTGAGGCTTGAGCATGTCTGACTGCCGTGTAAAAGGAACCACTGGAGAAGGACACTGACAGCGTAAGCTGGAAAATGAAAATAGATAGGAGGAGTTACCATTCAGTATATTACTGCCTCCAAATAAGGCAACAATTGTGTGATTGGTTACTGAATGATTTAGCTGCCTTTTAGAAAACTTATCTTAATATGTAAAGTTGTATATCAGTAATTTAGGCTAGGTTGTTTGCAATAATCCACAGTCCCCAAATGTCAACCTCTTAAAATAACTAAGGTGTATTTTTTGCTGATGCTCCATATACATTATATAATGGGTCAGCTGCAGGGTTTGCTTCAGCATATTCTTTCTCTAGGACCCAAGTTAATAGAGCAGCCTTGTTTCTGAGCATTTCCAGTCACCTGGCAGAGAACAAGAGTCATGGTAAATTACATACTGGAATTAAATCTTCCGATCCCAAATGACTTTCAGTCACTTTAACTCACATTGGTCAGCTCAAATCACATGACCATGCTGGCTTCCCAGGGGTGGGAAGCACAATCCTAACACATGCCAGGAAGGAGAACTAACCAGAGTGTTTGTGAACATCCTTCATGGCTACCATAAGCATGTACTTATTTGTGTTACTGTACTGATTTATAGTTATCAAAATATTTGTATTCATGTCTATAAAAAGTTAGGCATTAATCTTCAGGAAAATAATCCCAGTTCATAACTTTACTTCTAAGGGAAAATAAGATTAAATATATCTCATTTCCATTATAATGCCATTTTCAGAAATGTTATTCCAGTTATACCAGAAGTCCAGATTGTGTTGGTAGAAATGTGAAAGGAATACATTGGATTTTACCAATATCACTTTAATAAAATTATTAAACATTTTTCTTAGAACTAGTTGACTAAAGACTCTTTACGTTCTTTAAAAATTCTGGATAATTCTTTTAAAAATGTCAAGTGCTATATAAAAGAGGGAAATAGAAGGTGAAGGTCTGTACTTGGCTACATTGATCACATTCTCAGGTTAACTGCTCAGCTCCCTTTAATGTACACTCCCAGTTTAGAATATTCCCTGTTATCCCAACAGGGTACATTTTCTTATTTAAATTCAGTCCCCCAGTAGCAATTTATAAATGCTGTACAGGGAAGTGTTTAGTGTTTAGAGCAAGAGCTGTTCTTTGTTATCCTAGTTTCAAGTACCAGACTAATCTCATGAATCTAACAGATTTTTCACAAATGCACATATTAGAAGTCTTCAGGGAAGCATCCCAGACATTTGTGGTATTATTAAGGATTTAAATTGTAAACCATTTTAAGTGTGGGCATGACAGGAGTAGTAATTTTATGGATTGTGAAACATTTTTCGTATCACCTTTGAAACGGATTTATCTGTAACATTTTGCTGTGTCTGTGAAAAAGTGAGGCTCAGTGCTAGCGCAGAATGCAATCAGGTTGTTATTACTGTTGTGTGACATCTATTTCCTTGATGTCCTCTACAGACTTTTCAAGAGTCTCTCTGTAGGATTTGATTGTGCTATGAGTTTTACCTGGTTATCAGTGAATTTAAGAGAGTAAAAGGAGTCTTTCTCTACAGTTCTAATAAAGTTCCTTTGTAACACTTAAAAGGAGTTGAAATCTGATGTCAGGAAGCCTATCAGAGAGATAAAATGGAGTGTGTTTTGAACATTTGTTTTCTCTTGATTAGATGCATAGTGTTAATAGGTATACATCAGTGTTGTGTATGTATGAATAGGTAGTGCCTGATGTGGTTAATAAAGTAGAACTAAGAAAAAAGATGAGTTATTTCTGAAGGGGGCCCTCCTGGCTGGTGTTGTGTTGGATTAACAAGTCTACAAAAGAAGTAAGCATTGACCATAGCCCCACACTCATCTTTGAAGCAACCAGAGTAAGATAAAATGGAAAAGGGTAAAAGTAAAAGCAAACAGTTGATATAAAAGTACAAGGAAAAATTGTTTTTAAGATATGTATAATCTCAGAAAAAATCTTACTGTTATTAAGAAGCATAGTTTATTTAAAATAGATTTTTGTTAATGAGAAAATGTATTGGATGAATGTTACATTGACAATATGTTAAAGTTTCATGTGTATTTTGAATAATCTTAGTTTACGCTAATGTGGCATTCCACTGATACTTGTTAATTATTTAATTTCGTGGAATGTAACAATATTTTGACAGGATGAATAACTTACTCATCTGTTGAATCAGTCACTTTCAATCTGTAATAGGACTCTGCATATTGCCAGGTATTAAGTCTTAGAAATTAGTAGTTGATTTCAAAGACTCTGGATTAAGGTGTTGGCCTGGTATGTTAAGTGAAATAATGGTTTAGAAACAGCCTCTATAATGTTAGTGTTATAAAAATAAGATATAAGCTTTTGAATTTATGTTTCTCAATGAGTGCTTCCAAATTTTTAAAAGATTGTCCTGTGACTTTAAATATTTAATATTTAAATTAAAAAAAATTAATATTTAAATATTTAAGTTCAATTTAATATTGAACATACAGTTTGATAAATAGGTGTTGGTGGAATATATATCTAGTTAACAGATTTTAAATGGACCATGAGTAACAAGACATAGCAATACTGTTTATCTAAAAGTCTTTGCATTTTAGCATTACATGATAATTATATTAAAGACTAGCCTCTCTAAAGTGATTCTGGCACTTTTCAGTATTTGTGCATTGATAATCAAAATGTCTTAGCATTTGACTGATTTTCTGTGTTGCTCAGGAGCATTGTATAATAGCTTTCTTATTTTATTTATTTTTTTTTGAGACAGAGTCTCACTTTGTTGCCCAGGCTAGAGTGAGTGCCGTGGCATCAGCCTAGCTCACAGCAACCTCAAACTCCTGGGCTGAAGTGATTCTGCTGCCTCAGCCTCCCGAGTAGCTGGGACTACAGGCATGCACCACCATGCCCAGCTAATTTTTTCTATATATATTAGTTGGCCAATTAATTTCTTTCTATTTATAGTAGAGACGGGGTCTCGCTCTTGCTCAGGCTGGTTTCGAACTCCTGACCTTGAGCAATCTGCCCGCCTCAGCCTCCCAGAGAGCTAGGATTACAGGCGTGAGCCACCTCGCCCGGCCATATCTTTCTTATTAAATCCACTACAGAGGTAGTAGTTTGGGTATGGAAGATAGGTAAGATAAAGTATAGTCATCTGTTCTTACTTCTACATGCACAGAAGAATACTTTGAAGATGGCTTCACTTTGAAGCTATGAGCTGCATTAAGTTTTTATAAATAATAGACTTCATATTTCTGAAGATGAATGAAAAATAAAGACCAAGTAGAGAGTGCTGTTATGTTCATTGAATGGAATCCTGGTAGTGATGCAGTTGAGTATACTTGATTTGTATATTTACAGCTATATTACAGTAAATGCATTTAACATATACAAGATAAATGTACATATGTTTGCAGATATTTATACATATATACATTTATACATACATATATACACAGTCACATACATATATTACAATGCATGTGATATTTTTATATTTCTTCTTTTATTCATCACAAACTATGAAAGAAATTTTCTTATTTTTGTTTTGATAGCAAACTTTAAATAGGCATCCAAACTGTCTATATATCTTTAAATGTTATTTTGGACTTAAAGAGGAAAGGAAGGCTATCTGATTGCATTTCCTTTCAAGACCATGCTGGTGATTTGCCAGAGGTCCCATCTCGCTGTGTGGAGTTACATTACCTTTATCTGGCTGATCCCAGGTACCTGTGTGCAATGCACAGTGAGCATCTTTGAGTTAGACACGAGCATGAGTCCAAACCTGTTAAACTACGAAAGATACAACGTTTACTCCTCAGTGGATTCCTTCCTTCACTTCTTTTGCTAGTTCAGAGGCAGGACAGAGGGTAACACAGGACTCTGTAAATATGAAATTAAAAAGAGTAGCTGGAAGTCCTTATGCTGGGAGCCAAGTATACTATACCACATTCACTTCCTTCATAGAATTCAGGAAAATTAAAAACATATGAGTTGACTTGTTGAGTTGATTTTTTTTTTCCTGTACACTATTCTTGTTATGGATTTGTTTTTGGAATCAAACAGTCTGAGTGTTTCTAGGTAGATGCATGTGGGTTTGAAAACATCACAGCATGTGGAACCCAGTAAAACACAAATTTTGTTTTCCTTGGCTTCTGTATGTCATGATCTATGCAATATGATAGTCTGAGGAACAGTAAATTTTAGCAAGCTCTAAGGGCTGAGTCATGGACTTCACTTTGGTGAGTCTGGTAGTGAGAAGTGGACTGATATTCAACTTGGTTGTTCCATTTGTACATTTTTTTTTTTTTTTTGAGACGATTTTCTCATTATGTTGCTCAGGCTGGTCTCAAACTCCTGGGCTCAAGTGATCTTCCCATCTTAGCCTCCCAAAGTGCTAGGATTACAGGTGCGAGCTACCACACTTGGCTGGATTTTAGCTTTTTATGTTGTTTAGACTATAACTTCTAATGTCCAGGTACATCCTACTACATTTTTTTTTTTACTTCATGTAAAGTGTCTATTCAGTTCTAACAGATGAACAGAGCATTAGGATCTGTTAAGATTAATATATGTAAAGTTGCATTGGTCAGTTATTGCTATACTAATGCAATAGCAATATCTTAATGATATAAAACAAAAATCATTTATTAAGCTAATGTGTCTGTGGGTCAGCTGGAGTCAGCAGATCTAGACTGGGCTCATTTAGGGCAACTGGCTGGGGCTGCTCTGCTCCACATCTCTCTCTCATCCTCCTCCTGGGACCAGTGGGCCAAGCCTGGCATGTTCTTATGGCAGTGGTAGATGTGTAAAAATGCGAGCCAAGCACACATGTGCGCACCAATGTTTTGATGGAGGAGTGTCACATTACACCTATAATGTTTTGTTGGCCAGAGCATATCACATGGATAAACCGAAAGTCAAGGAGCAAAGAAATAGTCTCATTTTCTTTTTTTAAAATTTCAGCATATTATGGGGTACAAATGTTGTGGATGTGGAGAGATAGGGACACTTATACACTGCTGATGGGACTGCAAACTACTGCAACCTCTGTGGAAAGTAATCTGTAGATACCTCATTTTCTTTACTAGGAGGAATTGCAAAGTCACAGAGTACGTGGATACTGGGAGTGGTGAAGAATTAGGGCCATTAACACAATCTACCATGAGGGTTATTATTTATATTCTGTTCTCTTTTGATGAGAACAGAGCATATAATGGAATGGACTGATAGACTCAAGTGGTTTACAAAGTAACTCATCCCAATCTATTGCTTGATTGAGCATATACTTCCCTGATTATATGTCTTTCTCCTCCTCTCAGTCCCTCTCTATGCTCCATGGGTAAGGACAACATCTGCTTTATTCATCATGTTATTTCCAGGGTCTAAAATAGTTCTCAGCATGGAAGCTGATCAGATATTTTTACAGTGAATTATTGAACTTTATCTAAAGCTAGACTTCTCTCAAAATCAATTAGTAACAGGCTAACTGATTTGTAAACTTTTCCGGATCACTTATGATACATGTGACACTATGATTAACACTGTATGGGATATGACATTGTAAAAGGAATAACCTCTGACTTGAAAGAAAGGAGGTAAGATATACATGCAAATATTCATTTTTCTAGGTTAAGTATGAAATGTCTGATTTCCTTAAGTACTAAGCTTGACAGTTGATATCTCTGACATTTCACTTTGATACTTCTTGTTTTATATTTATAGTGAAGGTACATCCTCAGTCTTTCAAATGCACATTTTGGCTTGTGATTGTCTTTCAAATTTTTTCTAGAGCAATTTTTGTGAAATCATGGAAAAGTCAAAAATGTGTGCTATTTTCGAATATGAGTTCCATCATGGAACCAATGAAGACCAGACAGCTCAAAATATCGACGAAAGATGTGGCTAATGAATGCACAGTACATTGATGGTTTGAAAATTTCCATTCTGATGATTTTAATCTTGAAAATGAGCCACATGGGCAACCTGAGACAAAGGTGGATAATGATGAGCTGAAAGCTGTAGTGGAAGCGAATCCATCTCAACCTATGCATGAATTAGTAGCAAGGTTTGATGTTACTATTCCGACTATATTGGACCATTTGAAACAAACTGTCAAGGCAAAGAAGCTGAATAGATGGGTTCTGCATGAATTAAATGAGTGTCAGAGAGAAATTGTCTTGAAGTTTGCCTTTCTTTGCTGTCATGACACAAAGGTGAACCATTTCTACACTGTATTGTTATAGGTGATGAAAAATGGGTTCTTTTTGACAATCAAAAGAGTCACAGAGAGTCATAAGACCAAAATCTTAAGTGCGAAGTCTCAAGTGCCTTGAGACTTTGGTCTTATGACTTGCAGGGCTGGTTCTGCAATGTCTGAGTAAGACCCAGGGGGAAGACATCTGACCCCAGTTTTTGGCAATGTGTTGTATTTAGTGCCTCTTGGGCCTCAACTGTGACTGCTAATCAGGGGCAACAGGGGACTCCCCCTCAGCATCCTGTTACCCTGGGAGGTAACCAAAGGCACTGACGTATTATGGGTCTTTGGCGAAATCCGTACAACAAGAGAAGACGAGGTGATGATTAAATTATGTCTATATTTTGCTGCCATAAAACTTGACTTACTTCTGTGATCAATGACCACTTGTTTCCCTCAATCTCTGTGTCTTCCTTTTGCCTGCAGGATTTGTTCCCTCACATGTGTCCTCACATCTGTGTTCTCATTCTTCGTTATCTTCTTGAACAGCCTTGTCTATTCCTGTGGCCTCAACTTCCACCTCTGTCAGGATGACTCCAAAATTTAGCACATTCCTGAACAATTTTGCCACATCGCCAATTACTTAATTTACATCATTACATGGATGTCTTGTCAGAACTCCAACTTAACATTTTTCATATTGAATTATCATTTTTTCTCAAACCAGCTTCTTCTAGTTTCCTAAATTTCAACTATTCCTTATACTTCCAGGTT